CATTTTGTGCCTTTGCCTTTCTAATCTTGCCCCTGCATTCCCGTGTTGCTTGCCTATATTCATCCTTTGTTAGTTGTCCTAGTTTCCATTTTTTATATGACTCCTTTTTTATTTTGAGATCATGCAAGATCTCCTTGTTAAGCCAAGCTGGTCTTTTGCCATATTTTCTATCTTTCCTACACAGCGGAATTGTTTGCTTTTGGGCCCTTAACAACGTCCCTTTGAAATACTTCCAACTCTCCTCAGTTGTTTTTCCCTTCAGTCTTGCTTCCCATGGGACCTTACCTACAAGTTCTCTGAGCTTATCAAAATCTGCCTTCCTGAAATCCATAACCTCAATTGTGCTGGTCTCCCTTCTACCTTTCCTTAAGATCATGAACTCTATTATTTCATGATCACTGTCCCCTATACTGTCTTCCACTTTCAAGTTCTCAACTAGTTCCTCCCTATTTGTTAAAACCAAATCCAGAACAGCTTCTCCTCTGGTAGCTTTTTCAACCTTCTGAAACAGAAAGTTGTCTCCAATGCAGTCCAGAAACTTTTTCCCCAACATATGTCTCAATAGTTGAAGTCCCCCATCACCACCAAATCTTGGGCTTTGGATAGTTTTGTTAATTGTTTAAAAAAGGCCTCATCCACCTCTTCCACCTGGCTAGGTGGCCTGTAGTAGACTCCTAGCATGATATCACCCTCGTTTTTTACCCCTTTTAGCTTAACCCAGAGACTCTCTACACAGCTATCTCCTACGTTCATCTCCACTTCAGTCCAAGTGTGTACATTTTTAATATACAAGGCAACCCCTCCTCCCTTTTTTCCCTGTCTGTCCTTCCTGACAGAATGTGCTCAGCATGTTTGTCTTAGACCTGCCCACTCTTCCCTGTTGAAGAAACAATTGAACAATATTCAAGTTATTCCCAGTCCCAGTGAATCAGCCACTTACCCTTGGATGAATGCCATCCGGTCCTGGAGATTTGTTAACATTAAGTTTTTCTATTTGTTCCAAAACCTCCTCTAATGCCACTTCAATCTAGGACACTTCATCCTATTGAGTCTTAGTCTCACACCAAAGACAACACTATCTAAAATTTTGTTAACGGGAGATACAAAAGGAGAGTTATTTACAAGGCTAACATAGGTAAAACTGCACACGAACACGAATGTTGGTGGACCAGAGAACCACTTCAGCACACTGCTCCACCATCTGGTAGTGGGGATTGTCTGGGAGGTTGGTGGCAGAGAGGCCGGTGGCCAGGAACCTGGCCACCTGGTGGAGAGCAGAACCCATCCAGGGGGACCAGCAGCTTGGAGCCCAGCCTGTGGGCCAAGAGCAGAGCCCAGGAGGTGGGGAATCTGGATGGTGGTCTGAAAGTGGAGCCCAGATAGCAGCCCTGGAGGCAGGTAGCCTGGCCGCCAGCCCTGGAGCAGAGAGCTCAGTGGCCGGGGATGGCAGTGGGGCCAGTGGCCAGGGTGGGAGTCTAGCCAACAGACTGGTGGCACCTTTGGGAGAGCCCTAACCTCCCCTGGTCTAGCAAACTCCTTTGCTCATGACCAGTCAGATCCCAAGGGTGCTGGACCAGGGAGATCCTACCTGTAGTGCATGTACATGTATTCAGTATTTTGCAGCAAAATATTTTCCTGTTGCAAAACTTCCAGAATGTTTTAATGGATCAAAATGTATTACATTTATTGAAAAACAAAAGAGAAATTATCCTTTTCTTTTTGTATTTTCTCAGTGTAACTCAGTGGTCCATCTTAAATGTATACCCCAAATTAAAAAACATAGCAAGAGACCTAAAAAAGAGTCACCGTGGCTTAATCACCATGTAAAAGAAGCAGTGAGGGACCAAAAGGTATCTTTTAAGAAGTCCAATCCTAGTGAGATAAATAGAAAGGAACATAAACACTGTCAAATCAAGTGTAAAAATGTAATAAGAAAAGCAAAAAAAGATTTTGAGGAACAGCTAGCCAAAAACTCAAAAAGAAATAAAATATTTTTTAAGTACATTAGAAGCAGGAAGCCTGCTAAAAAATCCTGTGGGTCCCCTAGACGATCGAGCTGTAAAAGGAGCAATCAAGGACGATAAAGCCATTGCAGAGAAACTAAATGATTTCTTTGCTTCAGTCTTCACGGCTGAGGACGTTGGGGAGATTCCTGAATCTGCACCATCCTTTGTGGATGATGAATCTGAGGAACTGTCCTGGACTGAAGTGTCATTAGAGAAGGTTTTGGAACAAATAGAAAAACTTAATGTTAACAAATCTCCGGGACCGGATAGCATTCATCCAAGGGTTCTAAAAGAACTCAAAATGGGAAATTGCTGAACTATTATCTGTGGTTTGTAACCTATCCTTTAAATCGGCTTCCGTACCTAATGACTGGAAGGTAGCCAACGTGACACCAATATTTAAAAAGGGCTCTAGAGGCGATCCTGGCAATTACAGACCGGTAAGTCTAACTTCAGTACC